GGGACAGTTACTCGAAATGCGAACATGGCGAGAGCGACGATGGCCAATCGATGGGGCGAACGCGCGTGTGCGACGCTCGTATGAGTGCGACGCATATGTGAGTGCGTGTGTGTACATGTGTGCGCGCGTCTGTGTATGTGTGTGCGTATGTGTGCGTGTGTGTGCACATAAGCAAAGGCGCCGATACATATGCTATAGCCATGGGGCTAAGGCTCCGCGGACACAGCGCCGCACTCGGCAGCACATGAGGCATGCGTGCGTTGGGCGATGTGTTAAGGGGTGCGGCGGGGTGTATAAAGGGTGAGGCGAGAGGCTGTGCTAAACAATGGGCAGTGGGTTAAGCTTGAGGTTATCAGCGCGGCGGGCTCTGCAGCAGTCGTGCAAGTGTCACATACATATGTGATTCAAACACACACACACGCACACAGAGAGATTTTTGTTGGAGTGGTGGTGGTGAGGGGGGGGGGGGGGGGGGGGGGAGGGGAGGGGTTGCTGGCGCTGCGTCTCAGTGGACACTCACAATACACTCATGTGCTCACACATGTGTGCCGCTAATGATCTCTATCTGGCTCGCTCGCTCTCGTCAACTGTCTCGCTCGCACTCACACACACACACATACACACACACATGCGGCTCAAAGCGCGCAGCACAATTAACAATAACGCAAACCTTTGCAATAAAAACAATTCGCATTCACTTTTGGGCCAGCATCGCACACGAACACGAACACGCAACACACACACGCGCGCTCACACGTACATACGCACTCACACTCACACATGTTTGAGTACGTGCTGTGCCTCTCATATCAAAGCGCTGACATTAATGGGTGCAATGCTTGGGCAGCGCAGCTAGCAGCGACGTCAGCGTTGACTTCAGCTTTACATGTGTGTGCGTGTGTGTGCGTGCGTGTGTGTGCGTGTGTGTGCGTGTGTGTGGTTCGAACAGCTCACGTCCAGTCGTGGTCCGCCTCGCAACGTGCAGTTTGCAACATGCTGCACGAGCCAAACACCAACCCGAACAATCGCCCACCCACCGACGCCGCTGCCTCTGCCTCTGCCGCTGCCGACGCCGCTGCTGCAATGATTAATGTGCATTAGCCGGTGTTGACCGCGGTGGGCGAGCATTAAACTTAAGTAGGAGCCGTCTCCAGTGCAGCAGACTCCAATTGCAGTTAGTACGCACCTCGACACACATACAAGCGCACTCACACACTATCACACATACTCAAACACAATTTTAAGACTAGGGGAATGCATGCCACATATTTGCAATCAAACATGGGAGTATATTCATAAATACACTCACGAATACATTCATGAGTACAGTTTTGATTGTACTCAAATCTCACACAGAAATACATAAGCTTGTACTAAGTATTTCATGGTCTCTGCACCCATGAGTCTACTACGAGTCTACTCGTGAATACACTCATGAATGTACCCATTTGTGCAACAATTTTATTATGTAAAATACACATACTTATATATGCAAATACGAATACACTCATGAATATATAAATGAATGCATGTGAATACACTCATGAGTGCATTCTGAATGAGTACATATCTATTTTAGCAAATTCTGGTATTGATTTATGTATATATTGGATATGAATACACTCATGAGTGTTTTGTTGCGATTTCGTATCCATTCGTGTCACGAACACTCACTTTAAATAAGTAGCTTGCACTAATGAATACACTCACTTTAATATTAAATATATTTATGATTTATAGACTTGATTTGATGAGTGCATCTGATAAAAACGAATCGTAATAAATTGAACGGAGAATAAACCCAATTCTACGAGTACAAACTATATGAATATTCGTTTCACCCCATTGCTATTCGAACCATTCAAGGCTCAAACCCATTTTGCACTCAATAACACCCACAACCACCTGAACTTCAACCCAGGGACTCGACTCGACTTGACTAACTACGCCAAATGGCAGCCCGATGTTCGGGCCACTCGCTGCGGTCGACAATGGCAACGACGACAGCGACGTCGACGGCGGCTCCAGCTGCAGCGACAGCGACAGCGCCAGCGCCAGCGCTGGCTGCTGCCCGAACGCCGACTAACAGGCAACGGCTGGCGTTGGGGCCTGCAAAGCGGCCAGGCGGCTACTGCCGGTCGCCAGTTGGCGCTGGCAGCGACGCCGACGTTGCGAGTGGTTTGGTTGGTTGCCAGCCACTCGGCAGTGCCAGCAACTGAAGCAGCAGCAGCAGCAGCAGCAGCAACAGCAGCGACAGCGCCAGTGGCCTCTTGTTGAATGGAAGATGGGCATAAACTAAGTTTAGTTTATTAGATGCACACGAGCAGCCGCGTTGTGAGGACGTGCCACAAGTTCCTGCAAAGTTCTGCCGGTCTATGGGACTCGCGCGCGCGCTTAAAATACGAGAATACGAGAATACGGGAAATCGAAACTGAGCAAAATGTGTTGCTAGTGCTTACGGAAATTCCAATTGGATTTTTATATTTGGGTAATTGGAGTCAATGAAAATCGATAAGACGATCAATCGATTAATCGATTAATATGCATCATGTAGTTTTTGTTGTTCTTGTTGTTTTTGTTGTTGTTCACGCTTTGATTTTGCGCGGCAAAAACGTCGCGCAGTCGTCGCTTTAAGCTGCGCGCGCATTTATAAGCAAACGCCGGCTGCGTATAACGGACAATGGGCAGCGACAGCGGCAGCGGCAGCGGCAGCAACTTCCTCTCCTTCTACTAACACACTACACGCTATCCTTTAACTCCTACTCCTTCCATTCGGCATACGCACGCTTCACACATGTGTGAACCGTTATCAGCAGCAAGCTTGAACGGCGAGCTGCGCTGCCTGGGTCGACGTCGTGTGCAGTCTAGTATGAAACAGTCGCCACATCGAACTTGGCTATTTTCATTTGTTTCAACTGGCGCGAGCTTGGCGCTCTCTCGCTTGCTCTCTCGCGCCTTGCTCTGTTTTGACTGTTGCGCGCTCGCTTGCACAGGCTAGCTCGCTCTCGCAGTCGTGCGTGTGTGTGTCCACCCCCACATACGCACACACATGCGGCCAACGGACCAACGAGTGGCAGCAAACCAAATAAACAAACGCAGCAGCAGCGACGCCAGCTTTAGCAGCAGCAGCCCACCAACCCACCAACCCACCACCACCACCAACAACAACAAGAAGCATAATAACAATAACAACAACCCACCACCACCACCACCAGCGGCAGCGGCAGCGGTAGCAGCAGCAGCAGCACACACCATAGCAAAAAGGGCTGAAGCTTTGGCGTTGGCGTCGGCGTCGGCGTCGCTTAGCCAAAATCAAATTTTCAGATTGGCATTAAAGTGCAAAACCCTAAAATAAAATTGAATTATCTGAACGTGTGCGTCCACAGTCGCTCGCAGGACATCGTCGCGTTCGGACATGCTCTCGTCGCTGCTCTGTCTCTGTCACTGGCTTTGGCTTTTCTAGGCGGCTCTCGCATAAGCTTGGCCTCTGCCGCAGTCTCAGTTGCAGTCGCTGTCACACTGTTGGTCGCGCTGCCTCTCACACGTATGCTCGCTCGCTCGCTCGCTCACTCACTCACACACACGCACACATACCAGCAAACGTGCGCTCTCTCACGCACCGTTCGTCCACTCGTCAAGCTTTCGTTCGTTTCGTTTTGCCGACACGACGACAACGTCGACAACGACGACCACAACGACGAAGCAGAAGTTCTCTCGCACTGACGCCCGTTGCCCATTATTCACTCACTGGCTTCGCGTTTGTGTTGGTGTTGGTGTTGGTGTTAGTGTTGGTGCTGGTGTCGGTGTTGGAGTGTGTGTTGGTCTCGTCACGGCGCTTTGTTGGTTGGACAACACGACAACTACGACAACAGAGCGACAGCCGTAGCCGTAGCCATAGCCGCAGCCGCAGCCGCCGCCGCAGCCGCAGCAGAGCCAGCGAAGACGCGCTCGCCGCTCGACGCCTCGCAGTAGTCGCGTACTTCCGCCGTTACCGTTAGCACCACATATTTCTGACGAGGCTGTCACCGCCGTCGCGGTGCACGCAGCAGCAGCAGCAGCAGCAAACGCCAAACGCCAAACGCAACTGCAACAATAACAGTTAGCCAGAGGACAACGACAAATAATGACGCGTGCTTAAAGACGTGTTCCAATCATAAGTTTTTTTTTCGCATTTGGTTGCACATCTTTCGACAATCAACGCCTATAACCCCCATCCCGCCCGTTGCAAATGCCCGGTTAACACACACACGCACACATACGCGCAAAAAGTTCAATTTTTTTTTTCAAGTGTCTTGTGTTTTGCATAGAAAACAAAAACAAATGTCCGATTCTAATTGGATGCCAATTTGCTGCCAATTGGAATGTGCCGCTAACAATAATGCGAAGCAAGCAACAGCGACAATGCGTTGATAAAGTTGTTTAGCACAACAAAAAAAACCGACAAATAATGTGGCCAAAAGGAACGCGCAAAAACAATTTCGTCAGCTGCCAAACTGCCAGCAACAACAAAAGCAACAAAAATAAATGCGAATAAGAATTACAACAACAACAACAACAACAGCTACAGTTCAACAGCTACGGTTCCTATAAGAAAGTCAAAAGAGGAAGCAACAGCAGTTGGAAGAATAAGAATAAGAAGCAGAAGAAGCGAAATCAGGCAGCAAGTGTTTTTTTCGAGTGCAAATTTGTTTGTTTGTTTGTTTTTTTTTTTATGTTTGTTTTATTTGTATGATAACTAAATAATATACGTTTATATATATTTATATATACAAATATAGTATAAATGAAATATGCAGAAATTGAATAATTGAAATAATGTCTTCAATCTGAAGCGTGCGTTGGCCAAAATGACAGCAACAACGACAAGAATTTTCATAAAACTGAAGCTGCCAATTGGCCGCCGTGTTGGACACCTGTGAAAGAGGCTGCAGAAGGAAAACAAATACAAAAACAACAACACAATTTCTATAAAATAATAATAAATTAGAAGAGCATTTTTGTGAAAATTTTGTGCATTTTTTTACGCATACACAAAACAAAAAAAAAACTGCTGAAAAAAAAAAACCAACAACAAAGTGCAATAAAACTAGAAACGAATCAAAATTAAATTAACAACAAACATTTAACCAGTGTTGGGCAACGGCTAGCTCAAAGGAAACCACAAGCAGAAATCGGGAATCGGGAATCAGGAATTAGAAGCAGCTGCCGGAGTTGCCCGCCCCGCCGCCCGTGCTGCCCGTGGGCGAGCACTCGAAAAGTTTTGAAACACCTTCGGAAATTGTAACAAAAATGAGAATTAAAATGCCCGCAGTTCGAATTGCACAAGGTGAGTGGGAAATATTTAAGTGAAATACACGTTTGTGTGACACCTGTGGGTTGAGCCTGGTACGCTGTTCACGCAGCAAACAACAAAAACATGCAAGAACTATTCAGAATTGGTTTGGTCTAAGGTTAAGCGTAATTCAAGCAACATTTAACTTAAGTTTTTAGTTGGTTTTTTTTTTTTCAAATTCACCCGTACAAGTGAATTGCTAGTGAATTTTAGGTTAAGTTTCTGTGGAAAAGTGAAACTTCGCTTGAACTCAGAGTTTTATTTAAACGTAAATTATAGAAAAAGATGTTTTACTCGGATATCTGGTTAAGTTTATATTATTATAGAAAATTGGAACTCAAATTCACCCGTACAAGTGAATTGCTAGTGAATTTTAGGTTATGTTTCTTTGGAAAAGTGAAAATTGTCTCACAGAAAAGGGTGTTTGATTTAAATTTGGTATTAAAATTGTTGTCCCAAATATGTGCACAGTTCTATGTACATCTAATTGGGCGTAGTTAATCCAACACAAATATATTAAAAATGGGTTTTCCAAGCGAAATCGTTTGAGGAGCCCAATTTAAAAACGTTGAATCCCAAAGTAACAAATCTTTGGAACTGTTTGAAATGGACAAAAGTGAATGTAATTCCGCCGAGAGATGGCCCTACAACAAGAAATTGTGCAATATATACAAGAAGCATATGCACTCTTTATACCCTGAACTCATTAAAAATGGGTAAAAAGAGTATATTGTTTGGAGTTCAGTTTGGGTTGGTTTCATTCTCGCCTTTTGTAACTTCTCCCAGCTGATATATCTGTAGCTATATTTATATATTTGTATATATATATATTGGATCTATTGAAGAGAGGCTTGTGTGTCTTTGGTTTAAAAGTGACTTGGATTCCGGCAAGAGATCTGCATGGAACGGAAAGCTGTAAATGATATTTCCGTCTGTTCCATATGCAGTTTATTATTTGCTCTTGTTCTTTTCTTTTTTTTTCCGCTGAGTTCGTTTCTTTTTTTTGTGTATTTTGTATCCACTCGTAGCTGGTAGATCTATATCATGGTACTATAGCTTCGTATTAAATAATTAGATCTATGTAAGAGAGATTCCGAAAACTTGTTATGTGTATTTCCTGGCTAAAAGTGAATGCAATTCCGTCACGAGATCTGCATAGAACGGAAAGCTGTAAATTATATTTCCCAAAACCAAAAATCCTATGCCACAAATGGGTGTCCATATGATGCACATTCGCCTGTTCCATATGCGGTATATCATTTGCTCCTGTTCTTGACTCTTTTTATTTTCTTCTGAGTTCGTTTCTTTTTTTTTTTTTATTTTGTGTATTTTGTATCTACTCGTAGCTGTTGGGTTCGAGTCGCTCCGGTTATCGCGACGATATCGCAATGCTCGGAAATCAGAGCCCGTCCGTTTTGGGTGTGTTTGCAATGATTTTTCAGATTTTTTTCGCGTATATTTTTCGCTGGTTTTTTCTTTTGTTTTTTTTTTTTTTTTTGTTTTGCGCGTTGGCGGTTGTAAAGTTAACGTTGGCCGTCATTTAGTTGGTTTATTGCTTCTTATTATTATTGTTATTATTATTATTTGTTCCATATGACGGCGGGTCAACAACAACAAGAGCAACAGCAACAACAACAACAACAACAACAACAACAGCCGCAATTAACATGACAAATACATTTTTCTGTTTTGTTTTTTTTTTTTCTTTTTTTTTTTTGGCGAGTGTATCTGTATCTGTATCTGTGCCTGCGCCTGGTCACGGCTAGTTCAAAGTGAAATCAAAGCCGTATAACCATAAACTCTAACACACGCACACGCACACGCACAGGCACACACACACACACACACACACAGACACACACATGCACAGATTTGCACACACGCACACACGCGCAGTTGGGCATTTCCGTATCGGGCTGCTCATAAAATATGACTGGCTGTTAGTTTTTGGCAGAGATTCTTTACTTTTTTGTTTTTCGCCCACACACACACACACACACCACCCCCCTCCCCCTATCCAGTGTGTCGGCTCTGCCTTATCTGGCCGTTATCTAGATAACATTGCCGTCCAGCCCTGAACTGCCCAATGACGCACTTGCCACGTTCCGGCCGTGCTGTCCATTTATCAGAGCTGCTGCAGTCGGCTCCACCTGAGACCCCTACCCCCACCCCCTACCGCTCGTCAGCCGTGCGCCCCTTTACCCAGCCCCTTGTGGCAATCGTCAAACAGTTTTAATTGCTCGCAAAGTTGTTTGCCTTGTTATTGTTGTCGTTGTTCTCCTCCACCCACCTCCACTTTGTTGTTGTTACGATATTTTTCGGTTTATTTGAGTTACAAATCAAAAGAAGCAGGCTCGCTAAGGGGTGGTATGGCGAGGGGTAGGGGGGGGGCACTAGTTGGCCACATGTGATAAGAAGCAAATTGTAGCTCTGACGCCCAATTGACAAACTGAATAAATGACGAACGCTTTTGCCGTGGACCCGCGCCGGGTTTTTGGGGCTCTGTTTCAGAAAACTTCCAAAGAACAAATGTTAAAGAAACCAAAGAGTGGTGAGGTATGCGCGACTTGAAAATACCCTGCACATACATTTCTGCCTGCACACACTATTCTTCTTCAATTTCGGGGGAAACTCGGAATCATCTCCAAAAAGTGAAATATGCTGCAGCTGTTTACACTCAAGGATATTCTACAGTCTACATTTGAAACGTTAACTTAATATCGATACTTATCGATGTGAGATCTATCGATCAATTGCAATGCACGAACTTTTAATAAAAGATATTTAAACGTTTGCACAGCAGCAATATGCCCATTTTGGGCGCTTTGAACTGTTTACAGGGTATCAGAACTCCATTTAAAGCCCGCAAAACAAGCCTCTGTCTCTTATCATTAGCTGTTGTGCCCAAAATTGCTGTTGTTCGACCAACCCCACCCCCTCGCTGTGTGTACAACAGAATTCTCATCAGGTGTGGCTGTTGTTTTTTCGGCTGCCCTCATATCATAATTAATTGTTACAATTTCATTAAGTTTTCCTCTCCCTCTCGCTTGCACTCGCACTCACACTCAACCTCTCTCTGTCTCGCTCGCTGGCTGTTTTTTTTTTCGGCAATTGATTTTCTTCATTAGTGTGTTTTTCTTTTTAAATCTTCTCCGATCTCCGAATTGACAAGATTTCGTCATGCCGCATCGCGTCGCCCTTATCAGCCGCTAATGAGTTATTTCCGAGAACAGGTCCCATTGCCAAATGCAATCAGTTGTTGCCTGTGATGGTTCGCGGCGCAACTGACCAGGGCCTAGGGCGGGGCTGGGGAGAGGGGGCTGGCTTTGGGGCACAATTAGGCAAGTGAGTGCATTCGAAAGATGCCCCAAAGGTGTTCAGCATGGAGCTGGCTTCCTGCTTAGTTGGGCGCCTGACACGAATCCCGTTCGACTGCATGTTAATACGTTGTGTTTGCACAAGCACAGTGAATACCCAATAAGTTGAACACATTTGACTGCCTGCCAGCTGATCGCCGAGCGCCTTTTTGGCAACCCTTTCGTCCGTTTCGCTTGACTCACACTCAATGCACTCACACTCACATTCACACACTCACAGACTGGCAACGGTCAAACGCTAATCGAGCGGCAGACGCGGTCCGAGCAGCTGGCCTCGAATTAGTTGAATCGATAGTTGCGTCCGCCTCGCACGGCAAGTGGGCAGCCCGGCTTGTCCTGCCTGGCGCCGTCCTGCCACCTGCTGCGGCCCATCAACTGCTTCTGTTATTTTTTTTGCCACTATTTTTTTTTATTTTTATTTTTTGTGCTTTAATTTGATTATCGACCAAACAGTGTCCATTAAATGAGCGACCGACCGCGTCCGCGTCCGCGTCCGTTTGCGATTGTTATCCAGCTCCTGTTCCAAGCGCGTCATGGCAACGTCTCTGCCAGGCACTTGCCCAGCCCGTCACTTTTAGCCTTCCCCTTCCCCTTCCCACCATCCCAGCCCTGGCCGTGGGCACAGCAATTGTTATAACAAATAACAGCAGCACCCCAAGTACTCCGACCCCCAAAACCCAATCCCAATTCGCTTGTGTCGTCATGTGGATGTCAAACTTTTGTCCAGCTGCGGCTTAAACGGCGCGAAGGCAGCGCAAAACTGGCACAGACACAGACTGGTGGCTAGGGGGGGGGGGGGGGGGGGGGGGGGGAGGGCGGACGACAGTTAGAACTGGAACTGGAACGAGAATTGGAACTGGAACTGTTCTGGTGGCATTTAAATTGGAGCCCGGAGCCTGCAGGACATCTGTGAAGGCAGCCCCAAATAAATTGCAACGGCGGCTGGCGCTGCGGGTGAGCATGAGTGTGTGTGTGTGTGCGTGTGTGTGTGTGTGTGTGTGTGTGTGCTTGTGTATATATGCTGATATGCTCGTCATGCAACACGGCTGGAAGTCAAAGCCAACGGCAACTGTGCCACCAGCTCCTGCCACTGGCAGCATAATCAGCCACAACAGCGCCCAGCAAGTTGCTTCCGCTGCGGCGACTTTAGACCAATCCCCCTCTGGGGAACCCCTTGAGTCAGTGAAGGCTGCAGTTGTGAGGCGGTCTCCTACTCACTAGGTGCATCCGCAGTCCGTCGCATCTGTGTCCGTTTTTTATTCGACACGGAGGCCAGCGGGCGGTCGCAGCCAGTCGGCCGGCCAACCAAAAAGCCCAGACAACAACAACAACAGCAACAACAACAACAACAACAGCAACAACAACAACAATTGCTTAGACTGTCGCATTCGGCACTCCCGACTCCCGACTCCCGACACTCGACACTCGACTCTCGACTCGGATGCGGATTCACATTCGTGCACATTCACACACACAGCGAGTCATATTCACATTCACATTCGCATTCGCATTCACATTCACAGATTCCGGCCAGGCGCATGAATTGTTTTGCACTTTCTTTTGTTTTAAATACGCTTTTGCCTTTTGTTTTTCACTCTTTCCCGCGCACTCTCCGTC